CGTCTTGACCTTTAGCTGGGAAGTGAGAGGTTGCAAGGTACACCATAACGGCTCCGCAGTCTTCAGGGGAAGTCATATAGATATGCCGAAGAACGGGCTTGAGGACTCTCCAAGTGACTCTGAACCATTTAGGCATCTCATCGCTGAGGAAGCCAGGTCCATCAACCAGACCGGGGTAGATATGTGTCAGACTAAGACGCCCTGCATGCTTCTCGGCTAACTCTTCGAACAAGAATGTCTTCATAAAGGTGGTGTACCTGCGTACACCAGCCACCCCGTACTCTGAATCAGGCGGGAGGCCAATGGGCAATTTGCCGGGCTCTACTGCATCCTGAAAGCTACCAGAATAGACGGAGATGACGTGTCCGGGTTTAGGCGATGCGGTCAGAAGCGGGAGTAGCTTCGTGATGAATCGGATGCGAGAGTAGTAGACCGTGGAGATGAAACTATCGAGGCCCTCGGGAGTGGCTACAAATGAAGATCAATCATCAGCTGTAATTCATAGAATATCAGACTCCAGGGTGTGGTGCTTACTGTGCCTTTCCTTGAGGATGGGGTAACAATATGTCATGTACAAAAGATCGAGCCTGACAGGACCGCCGTGGAATGGTGCCTCAGTCTCCTGCTTGATGATATCGTCGCAACACCGATCGACCTCGCTGATGAGGGCAAGGTCAGTCGCCGACACGAAGCGCCATTCAGAACCTGGACTCAGTTTTTGACAGCCGGCTATCACGGATTTTGCTCGGACGGCGTTCCGCCCTACAATGTAGACTCGAAGCTTGGAGCCATGCTTTGCGTAGGTGGATGCGAGCACCGTGGCAATGTAGGAACCGATTCCCGTCGTCGCGCCAGGGAGGGCCGCCACCAGAGGAGGGCCATCCGGCAACTTTGAGATCTCTGCCTTGATGGTGGCAAGATTCGGCATTGTGTGAAGATGTATCGCACTAGATCTAGTATAAATTTGTAGTGTACGAGAAAGTGAAGGAGGAATTTTAACTCCAATGGGTGGCGAGAGTTGGTGTGCCAGTTGAGTTCATTCTCCCATGTGAGATTGGACGAGACATGCTGAATTTATAGTTTACACGAAGACTGAGACGACGGTGCTTGTTTGTATAAATGTGAGCATCATACCCAAGACAGACTCGGATCAAGGACCAATAAGCGTTTCCCTTGGAACGACGAAGACGTGGGTGGATCCAGTCAGACCAGTCTAACCTCGTTTCGTATCCGGAGGTCAAAAAATGCCGAACGGATGGTATTCATCACCGGTATTGATTCCTGTAAGGCATGGATGGATTCATCATTCACCAAGGTAAATGTTCCCGTTATCTCCGCAAGATCAAGCAGTGGCATTTGAAGTTGTTTCTTTATTCTTAATTCCACGAGCTTCCCAATACAGCAACAAATCATTAATTATATACCGCTTCCGATCATGCATCCCCCATTTTTTATCTAGTGGTTCGCAGGCGGCGTGTTCAAATCACGAAACTCCCCACGCAGGCTCTCGATCCCGTCCCTCCTCACGTCCTCCACCAGCCTGGCCACCCGCGGCGCAATCTTCTCCCCGCTGAACCCGAAGAACTCGTAGGCGTCCTTGCCCGGGAGGCTCTTCCCGAACGTCGACATGCTGTACCCGGCGTCGGCGTAGCGCTCCCACCCGTTGACGGCGTACGCCTCGATGACCACGCGGGGCGCGCCGGAGCGGTAGCGCAGCGTCTCGCGCCTGTACTCGGCCGGCTGGGCGTCGAAGAGGCGCTGGCAGGGGAAGGAGACGACGCGCGCCCTGATGCCGAATTTCTCGGCGAGGACCTCGCGGGTCCTGACCGCAAATGCCATCTCGGCGCCGACGCCGATGAGGGTGACGTCGGCGTCGGCCTCCTCGATGAAGACGTAGGCGCCCCGGAGGACGCCGTCGCGGCTGGAGTGCTGGGGGAACTGCTCGAGGTTCTGGCGGGAGAGGGAGATGATGGAGGGGCTGTTGGTGGCCTCGAGGGCGGCGACGAAGGCGCCGGCCGTCTCCTCGCTGTCGCAGGGGCGGATGTACAGGAGGTTGGGCATGGCGCGGTAGAGGGCGGGCAGGGCGATGGGCTGGTGGGTTGGGCCGTCCTCGCCGGTGCCGATGGAGTCGTGGGTGGCGATGTGGATTTGCTGGAGGTGCTGGAGGGCGCCCATGCGGACGCCGGGGGCGGCGTACTGGAAACCAATCAGTCAGTCGGTTTTACTCTCTCGAGATTGTGGGAGAAACGTACAATGTAGAACATGAAGAAGCTGGAGGTGACGGGGAGGATGGTGCCCTTTTGGTAAGCGGCGAGACCGTTGGAGATAGATGCCATGGCGTGTTCCCTAATACCCCAATGGATATACCGACCCTGGTAGGTTCCGTTGATACCAGCCGTTGTTCTTAGATCGGGCTGCGATACAAATTAGCAGGTCATTACCAAACAGCTTGAGTTGAATCAAAACCGCAAACTTACGTGCTGGAAATCAACCTTGTCCTTCCAGGCCATGTTGACGGAGGGACTCAGGTCGGCGGTGCCAACCATCATGTTGGTTAGCTTAGCGGCCAGAGGGTTGCAGACGAGGCCGGCGGATTTGCGAGAGGGTGTAGGTGTGGTAGGGAAGCTGTCCTTGGGAGGGATGATGCTCCTCCAGTCTTGAGTGAAGCGGCCCTCGACACGTGCGATGAACTCCTTGTGAAGCTCGGGGTACTCCTTGGCATAGTCGGCAACGAGCGCATTCCAATCCTGCTCGAGCTTCTGGCCGCGGGCCTTGAGGTCAGCAAAGATGTTGTAAACCTCGTCGCTGACGACAAAATGCTCGTCGGGGTCCATGCCGAACTTTGCCTTGACGTTCCTCACTTCGTCAACGCCGAAGGCGGCACCGTGGGCCTTGGCGTCGCCCGCAACCTTGCTGCCGATCCCGATGGTGGTGCGGACATTGATGAAGGTGGGCTTCTCGGTGCTGGCCTTGGCCTGCTGGAGGGCCTTGATGATGCCCTCGACGTCGTAGTTGCCGTCCAGGACGTCGATGACGTTCCAGCCGTTGGCCCGCATCCTCGCGTTGAGGTCCTCGACACTGCACATGTCGACGCTGCCGTCGCAGGTGATCTGGTTGTTGTCGTAGATCATGACCAGGTTGTTCAGCTTCCAGTGGCCGGCCAGATCGACAGACTCCTGGAACACACCCTCCTGCGGGCAGGCGTCGCCGATCATGACATATGTGGTGTTGTTAACCAGCTCGTAGCCGGGCCTGTTGTAGGTGGCGGCCAGGCTCTTGGTGGCCATGGCCAGGCCGACGGCGTTGGCCACACCCTGGCCAAGCGGGCCGGTGGTGACCTCGATGCCCTCGTGCTCGATCTCGGGGTGGCCGGGGGCGAAGGAGTCGTATCGGGCGGAGTGGTAGGACTTGAGCTGGTCCATGGTCATCTGCTCGTAGCCCGCGAGGTGGAGGAAGGCATATTGGAACAGGCAGGTGTGGCCGTTGGAGAGCACGAAGCGGTCGCGGTTGAAGAAGCCGGGGTTTGTGGGCGAGAACTTCATGGTGTATCGCCAGAGACTGAGGCCGATGGCGGCCATGCCCATGGCAGAGCCCGGGTGGCCGCCGCCAAATTGTTGGACGAGGTCGGCGATGAGGCAGCGGAACTCGCGGAGGAAGCGGTCGACGGTCTTGTCATCTTCCTGTGCAAAGATGCGCACCTCGTCGGCAAACTTGGGCGCAGTGACGCTCAAGTCGGTGGTGGCAGAGGGTGCCATGGTTGCCGTGTATATTTTACCGATTGTGCCACAGAAGGGAGGATGTTGTGAGGACAATCGAGTCGGATGGTGATGCAAAAGATGCTTAAGACACAGGCGATGAGTGGACAAGAGCAGAAGGAAGGCGGTCCATGAAATACGACAATCGCCAGGTAGAGAAAAAGAAAGTAAAAGTAAGGTATCCTTTCATCTTTTTCCAACAGCTTCACGTGGACGATTTCAATTGGGATCTCTCCCATAACCTCCATTGCCCTTTTTGGAAATCGCAAGCGCCGCCTCCCGTGAGCTCTCAGCAAGCCAAGCGAGGGGCATTGGGCCTCTGGTCTACTTGATTAAAGAAAGTATGGGTCGAGTCATTCATCCAAGCTGCATTATTCCACAGCGGGGGAATCAACCCAATCGTGGGATATGTGTGGGTATTCGTCGGCTTGCTTTCGAGATCATCCTGAGATCGCCCGAAGCTACTGGTAGAGTCTCCCAATATGGGAATCAGAGCCGCCAGGAAATGTTATGCCTTCTGGGGAGGGGTGTTTTTTTGGCTGCGTGTTTCCCCTGGTTTTGCCCACTAGTTATACACATACGTCGGTAGTACATGTATTGCGTGGAAGGTTCGAAGTGATGTGGTTACCTGAGCCTCGCTAAATCGTTCAGCGCCAGAAGACACAGGTGACTCCAATTGAGAAACACACGGTCGACCGGCTGCTGACCAACTTCAGATCTTGATACGACATATGGATGGCGGGGTGAAGGCGGGGATAACGCCCAGCTGTCACTGAAACGATGCATCTTGAACGGAGAGGGTCCATTGGCTTGATCGGACAATGGGGTGCGCGGTTTCTTGCTGAGAATGGCAGCCAGAAGCGGATTTGTCGGTACTGCTGCATGTCATCAGCTGACGTGAAATTTCGTACCAGCCAGCCATCGGTCTCTGTCCTCCGTGGCTCGATCTTTTTTCTCGGCGGGGCTCCCAGGCGCTTCAGGCTACCAATTTGGGAGAAATTGAACTCTGCTCTGGCACATACCTCGGTGCTGGCTGAGCAACAAATAATTGAATGGTAAATTGGTAGCTGTAAGCTTCTTGCTTCGCCAATTGATCTGGAAGTCGGTCTCAGGATGGAATGGGAAGTTTGAGCCACTCCAATATGGAAAGGGTAGAAGACTGCTGAATACATAATGTTACGAATCAAGAAATATTCAGAGCCACCATCATCAATCCATTGCTTTGTGTGCTGAACGACTGTCAAAATGCCCGGAAAGAGCTTCATCAACGACATCGCGAACCCCGTTGAGCGGGCGCTTCGCAGCCAGTTGCTTCGCGACCCGTCTCTGGCCATCATCCCATCAGAAAAAGGTGCGTGCCATCCGGATGTGCGTGATAAATCAGGACCTGGCTGACATTGTGCTCTTACACCAGTGCTGTACAGACGAGCCGCCTCGCAAACCGACAAGGTCGTCCTTCTCTCGGGCGGCGGCTCCGGCCACGAGCCCGCGCACGCAGGATATCTTGGTGAGGGGATGCTGGATGTGGTCGTTGCTGGCGAGATATTCGCGTCGCCTTCCTCCTCCCAAATTCTGAGAGGAATCACAGCAGCGCAGTCCACGAAGGGGTAACGTGCATTCATTCACCTCCAGTACCCGACCGATTTTATGCCCTAAGCTAACGACAGTCTCCCTACGAATAAGAACACTCTTGATCGTCAAAAACTACACAGGCGACAAACTTAATTTCGGACTGGCCGCCGAGAAGGCCAAGGCAAATGGACAGAGCGTCGAGATGGTGGTGGTAGGCGACGACGTGTCAGTCGAAGGAAGCTCGCTCGTCGGACAGCGAGGTCTGGCCGGGACAGCCTTTGTTCACAAGGTCGCAGGCGCACTTGCTGCAAAAGGGTAAGATATTAATTCTCCTATCTTCGATGAATGGCAGCTGCTAATCCCCTTTCCAGAGCAAGCCTCAATGAGGTCGCAGCCGTGGCGCAGAAGGCCGCGTCGCATATGGCCACCGTCGCCGCCAGCCTCGATCGATGCACAGTCCCAGGTCGCACCGCCCCAGGCCTTGCTGCTGACGAACTCGAGTTTGGGATGGGCATTCACAACGAGCCGGGAGTGCGCCGCTCCAAGATCGAATCCCTCGACAGCACGATTCAATCTGCCCTCGACATGCTGTTTGCCCCCAAGGCCAACATGTGGCAGCCAAAGTCGGGCCAGAAGGTGGCGCTGATGCTGAACAATCTCGGCGGCCTGAGTGTGCTGGAGCTGAGCGTCATATTTGAGGAGGTAGCAAAGCAGGTCGCCGCTCGAGGCCTGGGAGTGGTGAGGAGTGTCGTTGGCAGCTTTGTCACGAGCCTGGATGGGCCGGGCTTCTCCATCTCTGTCCTTGCCGTTGACGATGAGCTCTTGGGGCTTCTGGATGCGCCAACAGGGGCAAGTGCCTGGCCGCGGTCGATCGAGTACTGGACGCCCAGCCAGGATGCCCAGATCACAACCAAGCTTCCGAGCAGTGAAGGCCGCAAAGCCGGGCTTGAAGGTGAGTAAAAGAACTATTATTTCCTCTAACTGGGAGAAAATGATAGATGGATGTATAATTAACTTTGAAATCACAGTTTCTACCACAGTTCTAAAGGGATTAATCGCCTCCATCACCAAGATGGTCACCGAGGATGAGCCCAAGATTACCGAGTACGATACTTTAGCCGGCGACGGAGACTGCGGTCAGACGCTACTAAACGGAGTGAATGGTAGGCTTTCCCCGTTCTCTAGCTGTATGGAAAATTCCATGATACTTCAGATGAACTGACACCTTGATTTTTCAGGTCTTGTGAAAGAATTCGACGGAGATCAACAAAGCACAATTGACATTGGGGACCTCTTCCGTCGCATCGCCACGACGGCCGAGAACTCAATGGGAGGCACATCCGGAGCCATCTACGCCATCTTCCTGAACGCAGTCGCCAATAATCTCGTCGCTTCTTCTGCCAGTCATAATGAGTTGGCTCCCCTCCTCCGCGCCTCACTTCAGCTTGGTCTCGGGGAGTTGTGCCGATACACACCGGCGCGCATCGGCCACCGCACACTGATGGATGCACTCATTCCGTTCGTTGAGACTTTCGCTCAGGGCGGTGATTTTTCCAGAGCGGTAGACGAAGCCAAGAAGGGCGCTGAGGGGACAAGGAGAATGGAAGCGGCTCTTGGTAGGGCCAGCTACGTAGGAAAGGAAAGATTTGAGGAAGAGGGCGGCATCCCCGATCCTGGCGCGCTGGGTGTAGTGAGCATTCTACGAGGCATCCTGGCAGAATTATAGAGTAAAGAGTTTCCGGAATAAGAAACATTAGCCATGGTTATCAATAGTGAGCCTCGATCCCTTTGGCCTTTTCCCTTTCTTTCTGCTCTTCTTCTTGTTCTTCTTGTAGCCAAAGTGTAAATGTCGCAAGGAGATCTCTCAAGATTAATGATTGAAGTTGGTCTCAAAAATCAAATTAATATAACAGGAATGCTGGGCCTACGGAAAATACCCACCTCAGTGAATATTCTCCATCGACTAGTCGAATCACTCTAAAAGGGACTTCTTAGCCTCTCCCTTGACCAATCTCTTAACCTTCCTCTAAATGAATCATGCGGACTACTCCTGGACCTGTTTCCGGACCGACTTCTGGACCGACTGCGAGACCGGCTTCCGGAGAGAGTTCTCGAGATACTAGTCACCAAATCTCGGATCCGGCCTCTTGGCTGTCTTTCTGATTCCAAGTCATCGGTGTTCCGTGCCACTCTCCGCGTCCTCTCAACGTGAAGGTCGAGTAATCTCCCGCTCTCCGTCCAATACTCATCCACACAAATGCGGTATCCAGATCTCCGTTGACCTACAGACATTATAGGCTCCCTCTCACCGGTGTAAAGATCAAGATGCGTCGCTTGATACTTCCAAGTCTCAAGATCATCGTGCTCAATGGATTCTGCAAAGAACTTCCGCATGTCACTCTCTTCATGTTGGGAGAAGTGAAGTTTCAACTGTTGGGTTTCCACGACAAGCATGAAGTTGAATATTTTACCCCGAATGATCACCTCAAGGGCGATAATGCAGCTACTGGACACTCCGAAGTAGAATGCTTGCTCCGTGTTGTTGTAAAACCTATTTGGGGCAGCCGTATTTATGTGGATTTCGCGCGACGTTCTAATTTGAAGGTAGTACGATGACAAATTCTGCAACTGAGATGAGCGGATTGCAATTACCGAGGGAACAGAAGGCTTGGATTTCATCGTCAGCTGGGCAATGTCCACGTCCAGGGGCTCGGGCTCGTATCTGCCATTACGGGCATAGAGGTTGGGGCCTATCATTTCCAGGTGGACGAAATATTGCAACTCGGCATCGTAGCACGCGGCAAGTAACCCAAAGGAAGGCCCTCGCGCCGGTTCAGAAGGGCGAAGCATCAATAGGTTTCCCTGGAGTTCAAGTCCTCTGGCCGTGACTGCCCAGGAAACCTCCGACGTCTGGGGTAAGGCTTTGACGTCAGAACAATACAAGAACCGGGATGGGGAAAGTGCAAGGATGCTCAAAACACCTTTGGCTTGTTCCTTAGATGAGGTATTCCAGACTAGAAGTGACAAGTCCATTGAACTTTTAATGATCGCTTCCTGCAGTCTGGTGAAGGCCTTTTCCTCTTCTCCGTAATTTAGATACATGCTAACCTCAAACAGGCCCAAAAGGCAATATGCAGTATCTTCGATGCGAGTGGTACGCCTGGTTGCAGCCCAAGACATTCTTTGAGCAACAGAATAGTCGGCAACGGATGTCTCGTGTAGTAGAAGAGGGGCCGGGATCCTAGTGATGGTTGAGATCGTATCCAGAAGATCTTGCTTGGTCCCGATGCAATCCCAGGCTTCGTTAAAGAAGATCACGTCTTTTGGCGCGATGAGCTCTTGTAAAGTCCAGCCTCTCGAGAACCATTTGCAATGAGGCAGTTCCTCCAAGATGCTGGCACCCATTGGGAGATCTGAGAGGTATACGTAACACTGCTTCGCATGTTGATAATATTTATACATTGAGCCAATAGCCTCAGCCAACTCGGTGCTGTTTCTTTTGGATGGTTAGCAAGGCTCAACGCAATTGCAGAACTTTGAGATGTTTGGTTATTACTTCTTATCAATGCAGCATGTATCGACCCAGGCGTATCTCCAGCGATTCCGGCGCGCACATGCACACATCTCGCTGATCTTTGACCACCCTTCCTTCTGCCGTGCAACCCGAGGGTCTTGCATGTCCTCAAATGTCACCTCATCGTGCTCCCACGTATGGGACAGAATCGCGTACTGCGGTAGGCGTGACCCGTGGAACTCATTGGGCTCCAATCTTTTCGTTTGCGTATCAAGCAGCCGCATCGCGTATGTATCTTCAGAACGAGAAGCTTATACCACATGGATGGTCCCTCCCGACCTTTTTTAAGACAAGCGTCTGAATTCTCGAACAAAGGAATGAGAACAGATCGGCGAACTTAATGGGTGCTGAACTTGGGCGACCGCACGCGGCCATTTAAAGCATTTGTGACACCTGGTGGCTTAGGAAAGCTGCAGGTATCTGCACAGTAGGGCCCATTTCTCTAACTACCTATTGAATGCAACTCTACCGTTTCATTCGACCCAGCCCCAGCGTCTCCTGGTCAGACAATACAAGCTCTCTCGGCTGCGATATGCATGGTGGGAGGCACTGCCACAAACAACGATGATCCATCAGCCCATAACAAGCAGTGGCAGCCAATTCCAACGCGCGCTCATCAGCTGCACTGTCCGCCTCACAAGCTGAGAAATGTGACAGGTGATATTTTCCTGTGGCCACCCCTTTCTAGCAAGCAAGCATGCAGCAATTTTTGAGGCACTGATGCCCAAGGCGGGGAGATGTCGCCTAATCCACCTGCCGTACAAGCTGGGCTCGAGATTGACGGATAAATCTACGCTTAAAACTATATTCCGATGAGATAAACATACCATTTGCTTATAAGTTAGTACTGTGTTATAAATATATAAGGTTATTAAGATACATGCCTATGGAATGAATGAATTGTCGGTGATTTAAGTTGATATTTAGTTATACGCAAGCGTCGCGACAGTTTTAAGGCAACCTTGTCAACATAAGAATGGTTCGCAAAACTGCTTAACCGACAATTTGCCTCAGGTTTCGCTTGGCTGATCTCGGGGGAATACTACCCTGGTTCTAATTAAATACCTTGCACCCCCTACGGACATTCTGTCTTCCTACATACTTCCAAGTATCCACGCAGCAACTTTAGAGCCGGGCAACATGCGTCAAACTTGCCTGTGCCAATACCTAAGGGTAGAATGCAACCATCCCGACACTCTACTGCAGCTGCCAGTTGCCATACGGGAGCGCATCTACTGGCATGCTGGCCTCGTCACTGGTCACCGCCTCGACTACGGCGAACCGCTTGATGATGACGATTCGGTTCTATTGATGCATATCTGCCACCAGATTCGCACCGAGGTTAAGGCATTCCTCCTAGAGCACAACACCTGGGTTATCGCAGAAAATATTGACGAGTCTCTTCTTGCGCTCCAAGGATGGAAGCCGGAGGTGTGCGCCAGACTCCGCGACTTGCACATCCATGTGCAGACGGCGGAATGCGCACCTCCTACCTGGAGCCGCATTCGGGCCTGGCAAGGCGCCGTGAAGCACCTGCTACAACATGCCAAGCCAGGTCAGCTCAGGCTTCATGTTATATGCCACGTGTATGACCATCTGGCCAGGGCTAGAGCCGCTGTCCAACCATTTGAGCAATTTCCAGGTCGCCTCAGAGAGCTAGAGCTCTGTCTAGCCGACCACCTTACACATGGCTTCCTAAAACTAGCTCGCGAGGCGGTGGAGTTGGCTCAAGCACCAGATGAGGAGGAAGAAGCCCGTCGTGCTATGCGCCCCTTCCCGTTTTTCAACCTTCCTCAGGAGATTCGTCACTACATCTATCAATATACGGGCCTCGTTCTTCCTCACCGAAATGTCCTCTGGTTGCCGGATGGGTATGGGTTCCGCCGCCAAGGGATATTCTGCGAATGCGATGGGACTGTATGCCGCGAGAGGGACCTCCATTATAACCGCAAGTTCTATCGCTGTGATGTAGAGGACGACTTTTGCTCAGGGCGTAACAGTAGCTTTTCGAGGCGCTGTAAACATGAGGCGGCGCTGTCTCTGTTGCTTGCCAGTCGGGCGCTTTACCAAGAAGCCATCGCTTTCTTCTACGCGAGCAATAGGGTCACCATCGCCGCTCGCAGGCACCCCGAACACGCGATATCCATGTGGGACCCTACTCACAGCCCACCTCTTCCTCGAGATGAGTGGGGTGTGGCGGGCTCGGATCTTGAGGAGTCGTACTCGGCGGAGCAGATCACGCACGATCCTACAAGACTTTTCATTGAGCATGTCGGCACCGCTGCTTTGCGCCATCTCCGGAATATTGAGATCGTGCTCCCACGGACAACTACAAAATCTAGCCTCGATGATGAATTATCCATATATACCGAATGGCGTGAGGCAGTTGACATTCTCGCCGAGCATTGCAACCTGGCGGGCTTGACCATCTCGATCCATATCTTCACCACGCGCAGGTACTTGCGTTGGCCGCTATCAAGGACCGAAGACATCCGCCAGACGCAGGGCCTCCGTATGCTTGCCCCGCTGACGAGGCTGTCGGGTCTTGGTCGGCTTTATGTTTTACTGGAGTGGCCTCGGCATTGGTCATCCTTGAGACCAAGGCTTGATATAGATGCGTCTGGCATGCCCGAGAAGCCTAGTCCAGGGTGTGCTATAGGCGAGCATTATATACCGACCTCAGAGCCCAGCCTTGTGCAAGAGGAGACACAGCTGGAGAGGCAAATTATGGGCGAACACTATGATAGCTTTGCGGTAGGCAAACGAGAACTTGTTCCCAGCCCGTGGCTTCGTGGCGATTGGGACTATCCTCAGGATTAATTGGTTTACGTATCATCACCATCTGCATCATACGCTGTGGATCGGAGCTTTTCGTTTATTGACTTCCTACAGTAAAAGTTCTAGAATGGAATGTCTCCTTACAATATGTGTCACCTTGAGAATGATAACGGTGGAATAGGAACCACCCTATACCTGAATCTTGATGCTCCTTAAATTAAAGCAAAGGAAAGAGAAGTCCTTTCCATTCTTCCTAGAATAAAATAAAATTACGATTCAAGTCTGGTTTTGTCGCTTTCACACGATGCTTCTGCCCTACAACATGAATGCAGTGCTGATGTTAATCCGCCTAGCCTTCCCCCAAAGCCATCTTGACCCCTGCTGGGCCAAACTCATTCATTCTCCTATCCTGGCATCTTGACGATTACCTGACCTCCCTTACCTGGAGAGCCGTGAATGGAGCTGGTGCTGTTTCATTCCTGAGATGCAAAAAAGAGCTGTCAGCGCCAGGCCAAGCATCATTAACCAGACGCCACGAAAGGCCTCCATGAATGACCGCATAACGCCGTCGTACCACCCATCTGGGAGGTGCTTCAACTCATCCAGATGTTCCCGAATGCGTCCAATCTCGTTAGCGGCATCAGGCCAGTCACCAAACCTGGACCACAGCTGGTTGTACAGGATGTTCTGGTACACCACAGATGCTGTAGTGACGCCCAGAGTGCTACCCAGGCTCCGGATGAAGACTGAACAAATGTCAGCGTTACCTTCTAACTGGAATCAAGATTATGGCGGCGGGGAGACTTTGGAGGTTACTTACAGATGGCTGAGCCGACTACGGCTTGGTGTGTGTGGTCGACAGCCGCGACGCACGCAACTTGCGTAGTTGTTAGCATGATGCCGTAGCTACTTCCAAGGAGGAAGAATCCACTGGTGCTGTACCAAGCTGGGCTGGTTTCGGTTTGCAACGAGAAGAAGGACGTAGCCATAACCAAGAGCATGACGCTCGGGATACCTAACCAGATATACTTGCCCGTGTGTCTCATAAAGTAGCCCGCCCCAAGGGCCCCGAGGGAGTCACCAATTGGGGAAGGCAGGACCATACGGCCAGCATTTGTGGCGGAATATCCAATAACCTGGAGGTATAGCGGCATGTAGAAGAGAGCAGACATGATGACCATGTCGGTGAAAAAGTTTGTGAGGGCGGCAGAGAGGATTGTCCGGTTCAACAGAAGCTTGACTGGGATGATGGGTTGGAATGCCTTGGTTTCCCACCAGATGAAGCCGATGAATAGGAGGATAGAAAGCGGAATTGTGGTAAGGGGCAGAGGGTGCGACCAAGGTACCAAGTTGCCCCCGGAATTCAGCCCCAAAAGCATAAGTATGGTGCACGAAAAGCTCATGAAGACGCCGTAGAAGTCGATACGCGCGATATATGATTTATCAGACTGCTTAGGGGGGACCCTGACCAAGAACAATACTGCTACGGCGGAGAGTAGCGATGGCGGGACCTGGGCGAGAAACGCCATCCGCCATCCCAAGGGCGCATTATCGTTGATCAGACCACCAATTAACCCCCCTAGCATTGCTCCACAGCCGTAGCACAGGTTTGCAATGCCCTGGGTCATACCACGTTGGCGCAGTGGCACCAAGTCGGAGGCGAGGAAGTTTTGGATGCTTCGCAAGCCCCCGCCACCGAAACCGGCGAGGGCGCGGCCCAGCAACATTGTGTACTGGTCTGTAGCCATGCCACAAATGAGGTTGCCGGCGGCAAAGAGAATGTTGCTTATGACCAGGCCTGGGCCACGGCCGAAGATGTCTGTAAGTCGACCGGTGATGGGAAGGACTGCGGCGGCAGAGATGAGATAGGACGTGGCAATCCATGACAGCATGTTCAGTGATCGGAACTCGCTCGAAATCGGGGCGGCAAGCGTGGCGACGATTGTCCCGTCCAGAGCCATGAGGAAGACGCCCACCCACGCTGTGCCCATGATGAGGCCCAGTCTCGTGGTTGACATTTCCGGCGCCAGAACTACCTGTTCATCGACCCGATCACGCGGTAGAACAGGATCTGTAGAAGCAACTATCGAATCTCTCTCTCTGAGGAGCGGTGTTCGCTCCGAACCATTGCCCTCCGCATGATGACATCGAGGCATTTTGTCGGGGAGATCTTCGCTGGCGTCGTTGAAGCCACAAAGGGTGAATTCGATCCGTTGTACACTATATAAATATCAATATTGACGGACAATGAGAAGTAATTAGGTTATGGCTGCTCACATACCTATTTCGTGCTTCCTAATGGTCCTGTGCTGGAGATCTTGAACGTTAACAGACCAGGAAGCTCTCCAGCCTCTTAATGTGTTTCCCCTGACCCCCTGTCTTAATTGACCGGTCATCGGTTACATCAGGCAGACTCAAACTAATATATTACTAGACATGGTTAGCTCTTTATTGGCCGCACTGAGACATTGTCTCGGAATACTTCTGTCTTGCATACGTTCATTCCTTCGGCCGAAGACTTGCAGGTCACTTTGTACCTTGCTTACAGTCCTTGTTCTTGTCCAGTATTGACTGAAGATGGGGTGTTCAGTGGTGGGACAAATTTCTTGCTTCATGTGAAAAGGAATCTTTTTAAAATTAGAAGTTAAAGGAACATATATCTGAGAGCGTTTTGGACCCCTTTGCTGCTTGTCGCCCCGCCCGCCTCTGTAAACCGAGTATTGGTACCAACCAGGATATACGACTAATTTACACAAAAGCATTCATGTCAATTGTAGGCATTTAAAACTGTTGTTGTAATTAAATACAGCTGTGGCCTCTTTTAACCCTCGACACTGGGAACGTCGACAACAGCAGCCTGCCTGGGAACAAATGGCTTCTCAGGGGGCCTATTTGTCAGTGCCGGCTTCTCAAGGACCTCCAACTTAGGAACGACATCAGAGTAGATAGACTGGCTTGTAATATTCTCGTACCAACGAGTAACGTTGGGGTGCTCCAGCCGCCACTGCTTGTCAAAAAAGAACTGAAAGCCGCGGAAGAGAAGGCCAGCACAGAAAATGTCGGCTAGGCTGAGAACCTCCCCAACAATGAATGTACGGTTTTCAAGGTGCTCTTCAACCACTTTCACGGCCCTCAGAGTGGCTTTAGAGCAGTTCTCTACGGACTCCTTGTTATAGGGTGCCTTGCCAGCCAAGGGCCGAAACCAGTCGGCCAATGGGATGAGGATCTCAGAGTTGAAGAAGGACATCCACCTCACGATGGATGCATATCTAATTATCACCTTATGTCAGTACATCATTGAAGTAAGTTTCCCCTCTTGGAAAATCTTACTCCTCTCTATTCTTCCCTAGGAGAGTTGTATTTTCGTCCTGAGATGCAACTAAGAAAAAAAAGGTCAGCGAGGCACCAATGAGTGAACAAGGCCAAGACAAAGAATATTAATGCGGTGTATTTGACTTCAGAATGGGGGAATTCCAGTCAGAAACCACCTAGATAGCAGACGCTTCTCGGGCAGTGGCAACAGTCAACATACAATAGAGTGCCACGGCAATACACTCAGATAAAACAAAGCCCCCCTCACCAACAAAGGTGGGAATCTTGCCGAGGCTGTTCACCTCTAAGTGTTCAATACTTGGATTGCCGAGGTTGGCATAGACAATGTCGAGTTCCAGCTTATGAGCCTTCGCAATCGCTTTGATGGCGATGGAGCGGGAATTCTCCTATACGAATAGTAAGAGATTACTAACAGAACAACAAAGAAATATCACTAATGAGGGAGATTAACACGAACCGCAGTGGTGAAGAGAGTTCCAAATGTCATTTTAGACGAGGTAAGTGATTTGATGCCTTAGCTTTGGTGCAAGACGCGCCAGAGTTAATAAAAGGCCCAGGCTACCGCCCATACGAGAACATACTATGCAGGGGATTGGGTCTACGGATTCCGCGATGGCCGACCTGCTATGTATTCCTTTTTCACAAGTATGAGCCGGGAAATTAAACTTCTCAGTCACAATACCTTGGCAAAGTGCCTCACATAACACGGTGATTAACTTGGCGATCGGCTTCCAGTTTCGGATTAATCCATTGATCGCATTGAGCTGAGCTGCGACATGCATTCAGTGGCTAAGCTGACCATGAACAGGCTACTTCCCTACCCTTCTCATAATTCCGATGATGCATACATGTCCAAAAGCTTTGTGACTAGCTACGCCTTGTCTCAGGCAGCCACGAAAGTACGCAATAATGCTGCAGTATGACGTTGGAAACACGGCAGTACAACATCCGAGAACCCGCCCGCACAGGCCGTTCCGGTGAGCATTGGTGGCTAGGCCCATTTGGAGCCTGAGGGTGAGATGGCACGCGAAGTGTCTGCTCTCCGTGAATCTTGTGCCGAATCTAGCCTCTTGCTGACGCTATTTCCTTCTCGGAGAACCACCTGAGGCTGGCAAATCCAACACTGCAATCGAAACTTGCTGAAAGATACAATCGAATGTGGCAATATGTGGCGTCATGCGAGAACACACATGCGAGATCATGATCTGGCATTAGTAGACATGCAGTCACATGTAAACGCTGCAACAATGTCGGTCACTTAATTTCCAGATAACAGCATTGATGATCAGAAGTTCCTCACACAAATACATGGGGCAAGAATGAACTGTTGGGCTTTGACACAGGTTGACTAAATGTCAGGCTTCCGATGCTTGAATGGAGATGGACTACAACGGCGACGAAATTCCATTCTCTTGTCACACAGAGGAGGATGAGAGATGGTCATACAACCACCTGAAGCTATAATCACACAGAATCTGCTCCTTATGGTGGGGTAATCATACGTAACGAGAATCTTGATTATCTACCTAGTCAGTGACTACAAGATAGGTTATCATAAATATGTTCTCTCTCCGGGATACCCGAGAGATTCCAGACGGCTATGGTATTTGCTTTCACTGGGCCCTAGAAGCTTTGATAGTGCCCGTAAAGCTGTTCAAAATCCATTTGTGTGACAGTGCTCGCAGCCTATTATCTTATCCTTCATTGCGGCAAGATCTTGTCGATGAGACTTCACAATGCTTAAGGCATCAACACTTGTAATGAGCATCTTGAAGTCGCGTAGCCAAGCTATGTCGTCTGGGTCAGCCCTGAAAGCGGGAGCCATGAGTGGTATTCCGCAGCTCTTAGCCGCGGCCACCAGCTTGGCGGAGGCAGCATAGAAGCTTGGATGCTCTCTGTGGCCGGGAGGGTTTCGGCACGGTAGACCAAGTGAGGCCCGAAGGTCACCCGATCCAATCATCAGACCATTGACGCCGGGTGTTTTGGCGATGGCGTGGGCATTCTCAATCCCGAGCTTTTCTCTATCGTCAGAAATGGCACCGGTAGCTCGTGGAATCAAACTGAAGTCTTACCACATTTTCAATCTGGCATATCACGGCGATGTTCTTGTCTGCGACTGTCTCTGCCGTCCAGCCAGGCGGGGCAATATTTGTGATCCCATCAAGTAAAGCCACCGGTGAAACAGACCGATCTCCACCACTGTATGCATACCGAACCTTTTTCACCGCGGCTCTTGCCTCGGTAGCTGTCTCAATTTGAGGGAATATGATTCCAGCAGCGCCTTAAAAGTCAGTAACGATCATCTTATGGTTCTAGAGGTGCCCAGAAAATGACTTACCTGCGTCCAATGCGTAGGCTAGGAATTCCGATTCCGGGCTTTGGATTCGAACAAGGGCGCAAGTTTTGCCCTCACTGGCAAAGTTAATGGTCTGGATGATGTCTACGAGCTTCCCTGGATCAGTTGGCCTGCGTTGTCTGAGTTAGAGAAAGAATACTGTGGTTCCGGGTTGCAGAATCTTACACATGTAGGGTATCAACAAATATAAAATCGAAACCGAGCACTGCCATGATGCGAGCGACTTGGGTGTGTGGGATTGTCAAGTAGGCACCGAACAAATGTTCGGGCCTCTCATCCAGCTCAACATTATGTTGGGACTCGATAGCTGCAACAAAGTTTGTTGGTTGGAAAAGTGAGGAAGCTCGGAATCGGTCCATCGTAGGTTGCTTCGGTTTGCATAGATGTACCGAAAGGCAAGTTTTCTCCACAACACGAACGGCTGAATGGATGTTTTTAAATGACTTTTGGTCAGCGCAGAGCTTCAAAATGATCAGGGAGCAGGCTCCTTTCTTGCACAAGCAAGCAACACGCTGTGTATATTTCTTTTTTGCACCATTCGAGTATGACGAATGCACGTTTCTACCAACATGAATACGGGCCCTTGTATGCATGGTGTGCTTGATCAGCCTAGGGTACGAGAGCGACGGAGTCCAGGGACATGCACTTCTGTTCTGAACGGCGTCCCAGTACTTGCGAAGTCAATATACTACCGGGGTAATGTCTCAGGCCAAAGGAATCCGGCCAGCGAGGACGGGTTTCTGAGCCCAATAGATTGCCTTGCCTGTACATGCTATGTCTTAATGCTGTACTTGCCGTCGTTAGAGTCAGAAAAAAGACGGTTCGTGCATGCTTACCTTCATGTCGGTCCGAGAAAACTCGCCATGATCCCATAAAACCTTCTCATTGATGTTCAGACTCCGTCCCAGTGTCGGAAAACATATCCTTGCTCCCCGCAATGGGACTGTCTGTCCGTCAGATGGCAGTAAGATGCGTATTCCGTGCACATGTGTGGCTTAGGTAGAATGCAGCTGAGTTGAAACTTTCAAGGCCCACCTAGTTCCCGCGTTATCGTGCGTGAGAAGCTGAGACCACGGCCTGGAATCTCATTTGCCTGCAAAACGTCGTTCAGCCAGCCACAGCGAACACGCCCTCCATCCTTCTCGGAGCTAGTTACACCATTGAGGGGCGAAAATTTACCCGAACGTTGTTGACCAGCATCCTAAGACAATGGCGTCGTTGATTTCTTCTTGTTTTGATAACAATGGCGCAGCTTCCTGCAGCGCCGAGGCTGATCAGAGACAATACAGTACAAGTATGTCTCAACTTGTTCCCGAGAGGCGGCTGGCCACTCTGCCTAACCACCCCCTTCGCCACCATTGTAAGAGAAGCCCGTCCGTTCTATGGCCCGCGACACCCGCTATTCCGTCCAATAGTTTCTCAGATTGGTGGCAAAAAGCAATCATTCTCTCCCAATACCCACTTTCTATCAAATTTATGCGTGGGTCTCTCAACAGTTCAACCTGCTCTAGTGATTCGTGACCCTCAATTTACACTTCCTGAAATAAGAAAATATTCGGGAGGGCAAAAGCAGGCGTCATGAGACATAATAGTAAGACATGCGGGTTACGGGGCTGCCGCTGAGAAGTTACCCTCCAATCACAACTGAGCGAAGGCAGACACACCAGTCCTACCTCTCCAGTTGGACCATAGGAGAGAATCATGTTCGCCCCTGATGAATCCTGTAACGTGCTTGCTCACGGGGGTACACCACACTCCATTCAACCGACAGACCGATATCCCATCAATTACAGTAACAACATCACTTGCCACTACCTGATTCTTCGTATACCCAACTGAACTTTTTCACAACAATTACTTCCATTAACAAGATGGCCCAACTCGACACATTAGACAAGTTGTCGGCGCTTGACACAAACACAGTTGCTGATGCCTTGGATTTGCTCGGTATGAAAGGGGCAGTATATGGCCTACGGCCATTGTGGAATTGCCCAAGCATCGCAGGACGTGTCAGCACAGTCAAATTCCAACTCAAGACCAATGTTTCTCTGGAGGCCTCTCCAGACAGCACAGTATTATCCGAGGCAACACCAGATGGTCACGTTCTGGTCATCTCAGGCGGGATCGGGGGCGTTTCATGCTCAGATGCTGTTGTCGACAATGCGTGGAAATCAAAACGCATCCGGGGAACCGTGATCGACGGTCTCTATCAGGCAGTTGACGACGTCCATGAAGATCGCTGTCCAGCGTACGGTCGCGGTGTAGCCACGATCGGTGATCATAGTCAGATGATGCAAGGTGACTTCGGCGTACCCCTGAATATTCGGGGCGTCCTGGTTCACCAGGATGATTATGTTACCGCAGACGGCTCTGGCACTGTCTTTGTCCCTGCCAAGCGCATCGAGGAAGTCTTGGAGGTCGCAGAACGCATCAAACGTCACCATAGCCTTATGGCCCAGGCTATACAATCTGATCGACCCGCATCTGAAGCCATGAATGACACTGAATTCCAAACCATCCCCAGGGATGCTCGATCTCAGGCAGTAGCATTTTCCTCCAACTTTAACCCCAAAAAGCCTACTCCCGAAACTCACGACTTGGTCTCGATGCTTGCCGATGTGGACACCGCTGCAGTGTCTGATGCTCTTGACAAACTCGGCATATGCGGACAGGCACTTGGTATCATGCCTTTAGAGAACTACCAAAAGGTCACCGTCGGACCAGCTTTCACTGTGCGTTATGTGCCTGCTGGCCAGCCCGCAGGTAGCGTCGGCGACTTCATCGATGATGTTGGCGAAGGCGATGTCGTAGTCATCGACAATGGTGGCCGTACAGACTGCACTGTTTGGGGCGACATCATGACCCAGTACGCAGGTCTGCGAGGCATCGCGGGAACCGTCATCAACGGTGTATGCCGTGACGTGAACCGTGCCATCAGTGACCATTATCCCCTCTTCATTGCCGGGCACTGGATGCGAACCGGCAAGGACCGAGTAGAGGTCGGGGCCGTCAATGAGCCAGTCGCTATCGGCGGAGTTCGCGTCAACCCCGGCGATATTGTTGTGGCAGATGCAAATGGCGTTGTCTTCATTCCGCGCCATCGCGCCCATGAGGTGGCTGAAGTCGCCCAATTGATTGAGAAGAGCGAGGCCGGAATTAGAGAGATGATTGTTGATGGGGCTACACTGGCAAAAGCTCGAGAGGTGTTCAAGTATCACCAGCTGCAGCGCACTGAGTAAGATTTGGCTTGAGAGCGATCACATTGGTTTACTGTACCTGGCTAGATAGCAAAATTAAATTCAGACTCATCACGATGTTGTCGCCAAGTTGCCGACGGAGGCGCACCAATGGGCTAGGTACACAGTGGCACAACACAGCAACGAGAGGCGTTATTCCCAGGCTCAGTATCCCTACAGGTATGTTTTCAGTTTGTATTTGGCTTCCATTAGATCGAATTTTCTGTAAACTGGCTCTTATTCTTGCAAACTACCAACAAACGTGATGCTAAAGAACATGTAACCAACTTATCCCAGTCGCTACGCATTTCAACTACAAATAACTACTCCTTCTCTGGAATTACAACGCCCCAGCTGTGGTTAGCACGGCCATACAAAATGTCACCCAGTACAGTCTTGATCTTGTGCGTGATCTCCCCGGCCTGGAGTTCGGGATCGATTGGGATCATTATGTCCTGGCCACGGTGACGGATCTGGCTGATGGGGCATATGAAGAACTGCGCACAGCCAAGGTTAGCACTATGATGTCTGTCATTCGAGAGAGTGAAATACTCACGCCTGTTCCTGTAGCGAAGGACTCGAGGATACGACCCTCTGCTTGGGCCTCGAATAACTCGCCGATGGTAAACTTGCGCTCTGTCACTTCAATATCACCAATCAATTTCTGGCGAACAAATTCGAGGCAGCTGCGACGAGTAACACCGCTAAGAATAAGTTTGTCATCCAGGGGAGCTGTGATGAGCTCCGTCTTGCCATCCTTGCGCTTCCAAACAACAAAGAAGTTACTGGCACCAGCCTCGGTGCATTCGCCCTTGTCACCGTAGAGCCAGAGGATCTCGTGGAACCCTTGCATGTGTGGACCTTGTTTGGCTATCATCGAGGGACCATAGTTGGCACCAATCTTCGCATAGCCGTAGCCGCCGACCCAAGCACGAACCAGATCATCAGGTGATGTGTGGAGGCGCATACCACCAGGATAGCTATCCAATCGTGGAATGAACCCGGCCATGATATAGAACAACGCCTCCTTAGGGGCATGAACACCGATCCGAGCCTGGGTGCCGATGAGGATTGGGCGAATGTAGAGGAAGCCTCCGGCACGATCCTTGGGCAGCCAGCGGGGGCCATCGACACTCAACAAGGTCACGATAAGCTTCTCCATTTCGGCAGCATCAAATGTAGGTAGGGAGATGCGACTGGCAGACACATTGAGACGCTCGCAGTTAAGATTTGGCCGGAAAAGTCGCAGTTTGCCATCATCACCTCGGTAGGCTTTCATGCCCTCAAAGCACTCAGTGGCGTAGTTTAGAACTGACGCAGTGGGCATGATACTGAGAGGGCCATAGGGCTTCAGCTCGGGGGCTTCCCAGCCCGTGGAGGCCCTCCAGACAGCAGTAATCATATGATCAGTGCAGATTGTCTCATCGGAGGTATTGGCGGTTGCTTCGTCGGGGACGGCGCGGAGGTTGGTTGTGAATTTGTAAATGATTTTGGAAGCGTCCAGCTGGGCAGTGTTTGAGCCGTTTGCGAGGGCCTCCTTGCCCTTCGGGGCAGGTGAGTTGAGCTGGGTGCCCGATACTGGGACAGCCGTTGGAGCCATTTCGTCAGTTATATTAAAAAGATCAGGCAATATACAGTGTTCTCTAAGGTGAGGCGGCGGGATTTCTTTTATATGTTTATGAAGGTTGAAATATGTAAGGCTCTCGCTTCTGTCTGGCCTGGGTACAACCAGAACCCCTAACATGCCTGACGAAGGTGGCTGCGTAGTGGGTAAAGCTTCACCAGCCAGAACAGCCAAATATTACTCCGACATCGAGTACAAACATTTGTACATTCACGGATGTCAGCTGGTAAATCATCTGGTGATGTGACCAATCTAGACATGCATGTGGGCTGTAATTGATCAGGATTGAGACAAGTCTCACTGGCCACAACGCATCCAGCCCTGGCCGAAAGCCCGATGAATGGTCTATTGTTACAAGTGTGATTGGTCTGCAGTACCTAAACCAAAGTTCCCTCATATGGACCACCATCAGCTCATACTTGCGCCATCATCCAAGACAGGAGCAGTTCTGAAGGGCCAAAATGCACGGCTACCCAATATTGGGCCTTGGTCAACCGGAACGCGCACATTTCTCGCCCCTCCGATACCTACTTCTACCTTGACCTTTCCAAGACACTGACGTAGGTTCGGGATGCTTCCCCTGCATTCATTGGCAATAGAGACGAGATAGATCCCGCCAATGTCTCGGACGACGCCACGCCACAACTGAGACATGGCTGAGAGTGTTCCAGCTGTTGTATTTTACCTATGGTACGGTACGTATCATAAACGCCAAAAACAAGGAATTTCATCGCTATTGGCCACAAATTAAGTTTATCGTCGTATTCCTTTTACAAGAATGGGCCAACTCCGAATGTCTTAGAACACCTGCTCAGCGCTGAGCACATTGACTAGTACCTCAAAGCCATGCAGTAGTCGGACCAAAAGAAAAAGAAAAACAGGATAAAAAAGAATGTGCAAATCTCATGATGGTTTGAGCACTCTTCTGTCCTAGGTACAGACTTAGAACCTAGTCCTAAAAATATCCCCTCCAAGTGATCCTCTGCGTAGTAACTTACGGGATAGTGAGCCCACACGTGCTTAGATACCCGAAGACTCATGATTTTCATCTTTTATATTACTTGCAAGCATTCCAATACTGCATTTTGTGCGAGGGATCAACGATTGGATCAACTGTACCAAGCCCCCTAGGCTCTAACAATCCTCAAGACCCCTTTAGCCACGATGTTTCTCTCATACAAAGGACCGCCGAAGTGGCATCAAGACACAAGCTGGAAGATCTTTGAGTATTACGGCACCGTTTCGTTAATTTCAATATAAACAGCGACAGTAGCGTTAGCCATCACCACCTCCTCCATCAATCATGAATCCAACAAATTAAACTGATCTGTGATTGCATGTAAATTAATTCTTTCGTCTAGGCTGATGATAATCTACGTCGTCGATTATGCCGCGTTACGCCTCACGGCCTCACCAGCTCGTAAACACCAAGCCTTAAGAGTAATGTCCAATTTCGCTCACGAAATATATAACAGATTCTTGACAATACACATAATTCTATTCCAAATCAGAGACTGATTTTTTACATATCATCTATATTCACGAGCAGTTTCCTTATCAAACAGCTCTATCGAGACAAGCCTCGGCTAGGCGAACAGCATTCTTAGAGTCTGTGGGCCTATCTCCGACAAACGGTCTAGACCTTATTATTTACCACTAGAATAAATCAAGACACGGAGAGAGCCTCCCGTGTACTTCTAAACAGAGATCTCAAATTACCTAGAAATCTTGGCCATTAGATATGGGTCATCGCTTACAGGAGGAGCACGAAAAAAAAAAGAATCCCCCAATCAGTACCAATTGTGCATACTGGGGTGGAACCCGAAACGTGGCCAGGATACCTCTTGTGGTTCCTAGGACCCTACCACTTGCCATGTGAGGTTGAATACGGATGCCTGTCTATGGACAAGCTTCGGGGCACAAAGCCAGGGTCAAATAGAGTACACGTCAAGTAATTAATTGCTCGCGTGGCGAGCCTGCAACCCTGATTTACATACCCACTGTGCTGCGACGGGATCGTTCGTTATCAGATCCAAATGCTAGTAACGTTCGTGAGCAGGACACAAAGCCTCGCATTTTCGTGTCAATGCTGGGTTTTACCCAGAAAGGAAGCCAAGAATCAGGGACGAATGCCCTAGTTTAGCGCTGAGCGGGAAACATACCGGCCAGGACGGGATGTCATTGCTCAAACTAGATGTCCCCAATTGACCCAAGCAACGACCGTGGTTTATTGGTCATATATTGGACACAACCACCAGACAGTAATGGTGCCGAACCGACATCGGGTGATCACCGAGGTGCGTGGAGGCCTCGGTGGCAATGGTGGATGGTTCCAGCTTTTCGGATGGGTCGATTCAAGACTCAATTGGCATGGTTAAGCGAAGCTCTGACTCGGTCACCCACACCACCTAAAAGGAGCGAGAAGAAAAAATGGTTCCAGAAGCCAACAAATACCTATAACTTGCATCGGAGGCATCTGCCAAATGCCGCACATCTCCACCCTTTAAAATCAAGGGGGCAATACGCCATCAAGGTGGGTAGAACCAACGAACAGGAGCTTCAGACAGGCAACACATGAAGGCTGTGCCCCTTGAATATGTGGGAACGGTGGGTTCTGAAGACGATAGTCTCTCGCGCCCCTGACCCTACCAAGGGCTGGGTGATCGGTGCACTCGGATCGTGATTGTACAGAGTAGGATATGCGTCTAGATATGCAGGTCAGCTCTGTGGACCCTACTGCCAACGTCCAATCGGCCCTGAAGATGGGCTAGGATAGATCAGATGAAGAAAGTTTCGAAGCGCCGTTGGTGGGCTATCGTCATCGCTGGTGAATCATGGCCATAGATCCGCCTTTATGGGGCCATGTTTGCTTTTGAATTTCCCCTACATACCCCATCCATCCCCCAACCTTGTCCGCTCGACGGCGGTGCATCATCTGCAGCTCTTTGACAGAGATCATCGATCCGTCCCTGCAGGACTGCGTCCGATCTTAGATCCAAACCCCGCAGCAGCGGCTGCAGCAGCAACTATGTCTTCATTTGTTACTGAGATGTGGTCGTGGTACTCAGTTACCGTCCTCATTGTACTGGCGAGACTGTACGTTGGTTGAAGGTTCTGAAGATTTTGTATCTGTTAATTCTGTGAGCTGACTGGACTTGATAATAATAGGGCATCACGACGACTTCTCTACAAATCTTTCAAGGCCCTGCAGCTCGACGACTGGCTCATGTGCTTCACCCTGATCGTATATACCACTTTACTCGCCATTGTCTGGGTACAGACCTACACTCCGACAAACCTTGTTCAGCCGGGCGACGAAGTCGGCATGTCGGAAGAGGAAATAAAGACGAGGGAATATGGATCCAAACTTGTTCTCGTA